TCTCTAAAATGGAGAAATAACTAGAATGAGATTCAAGCAATCTAGCCATCAAAACAATTGTAAAGCAACAAATTCAAAGGTGTGGATGCTTGTTACTAACCTTAAAGCAAGAAGATCATGCCCATGCTTGAAAATCCAAGATCTTCGTTAAGCATTTTGGTGAAGAATGGCTGTAACAATGGAGGGAGAGGTAGTTGAGTGCGCTCAGGATGGGAGGAAGGAGGGAGGAGGATGTCGGCTTTGTACTGTGCACCACACCATTGCCGATTCAAGCCAAAGGCCGACAGTGATAGCACAAGACTACTGCCAGTTCAAGCCACGAATTTGCCGGGTCTAGCCACCAACCGGCCGTGATATGGACCTTCACTTCCGGTTTTTGGGGACCCCAATTATTTTCTTATTTTCAAGCTAAAACCGACAGTGATGGGCCGGTAGTGACGGTCAACTCTATAGTAGAGTAAGAAACACATGTATAGTAAGATAGGCTTATGCAGCGCCTTGCTTTATCAGGACACGTCATAAGTCGAGTGGTGCTCTCATTGATCACTCGCAAATATTATTACTTAATACTTTTAACTTATTTTAGAATATGACGCGAATGATAAACCTGAGACCAGATGGACATGGGTTTGTTATTTACCTGTGCCATAGATCTAGGCTCTAACTGTAGTAGTCCCGTCTATATCGTCTAAGGACTGTAATGTTGTTAGTGTTATCGGACATGTTTGAATGTACCACATATATATACCAGCTGAATAGATCCGAGAAAGCGAAGTACTTCATTTGTAGTTATTGGCTGAAATGTTTCGTTGGCTCCCTGGGTAGTAGTCAAGGGAGACCTAGGTCAGATTGTTTCCACCTCTAGCTGATTGGGCTTGTTCAGAAATGTTTTTTTCCCAATATTTTTGGCGTTGTTATCCGTTTTTTGCGATTTTTTTTTTGATGAAAAGCATTTGTAAGATGGACTATCTTATCTTAAGAACCACGCCCTCACGGTCAGCCTTACGAACTGTCCCTAAAAATGTTTGTCTTGGATAGAGGTGGCTCCAAAAACCTGCTGTGTAAATTGATTTCATTTGGCTGCGACGACCACCTGTTTGCTTGAACTTATCAGCCTGACTTATCAGTTATGGTATAATATTTTTCTCTCACAACAAATCAGTGAATAATACCTTTCAGCGAAGCAAACCGGGCCTAGTGGTATACGCACTGAACTCATGACGACAAAGCCTGCAGTACCTATAGTTGTGTGTGGATGTTGTATGCACGAGCTAGCGTGACCAGCAGAGCTCGGATCGATGCAGCAGCAGAAGCAGCCGCAAGTATCACGCGCGCTGTGCGAGTGTTCAGTTCCTGCGGGAGCGACGGACGACGAAGCCTGGCGCAGTGGGAGGTAGCGAGCCGGCCATATACACACACACGCACGTGAACAGGTCGGTACATATACACACAGCGCTCCCGGCCTGGCACGGCATGCATGCACGCGGCAGCTAGCTCGCCCGTGCAGCAGGTAGCTCACTCGCCCGCCACACGGGGCATGGCTTGGAGCGCCCGCATGCAGCTAGCCTACGTGACGGACACCCATTCGCCGGGCTGTGGCTTGCCCCAGAGAGCGAGGTATAGTTTTCCAAACGTGCTGGCACGACACTACACGGCACTAGCCTGCCCCGGCACGGCACGTCTGGGCACGGCACGCTAGGCACGGCTGATGAACCGTGCCGTGCCATGTCGTGCCACCGTGCCCGACTCCAGGCCCAGACACGGCACTATTATTCTTGGAGCGTGCCGTGTCGTGCCATGCCGACTCCAGGCTCAGCGTGCCCGTGCCGGTCCAGGCATTAAACTGGCAAAACTCCTCAATGAACTCAGCACAGCAATTCAAAGAGATCTAAAATGACTAAGTTCACAAAAGATCAAAAACAGATCAGAACACAGCACAGCAAAAGAACACAAACTTTTGAAACTAAAACTAATTTAAGTAGGAGCTATGCAATGGCTGCCTCATTAAAAACCTGTTTAGGTAAAACTCACCCCTATGAGAAATTCTAAACAGGAAAAGAGTACAGCCAGCTCCTAGATTAATTGTTCATTACATCCATCACAACAAGTCCAAGTTTCAGTTATTACACAACCATTACATAAATGGGAAGTGAACTAGTCGACATCATCGTCCTCATCATCTCCGGCCATCCCGCACATACGCAGCTCATCATTCTGGGAGTGGTCAAACTCCCCGTCGTCGTGTCGCCCGGCGCCTGGGGCCATCTCTGTCGTCTCCGGTTCCTCGACGGCTGCCACAATCAACAGATAAAAGCAGGGTTAGGTTGGGGGTTAGGGTTTGGGTTAGGGTTAGGGTTAGGGTTTACCCTTACCTCTACGGCCGGAGCCTCGTAAATGACGACGGTGAGACGGACCGATTGCACACCTCTGGTACCTCAACGGAGACCGGAGCCCCGGAGGTGGCGGCAGCCAGCGATGTGGACGACGGACAGATGACGGAGATGCGGCGAGGATGCTGAGAACGAGGCTCAATCGACGTTCAGGGATGAAGAATAAGGGAACAGATGGAGATTGAGGGCGGGAACCACCGGGTCTGAGGGAGAAGAGGGAGATTGAGGGCGGAGAGGGAGAAGAGGGAACCACCGACCACCGGAACTGACCCCTTACCCGCCGGAAGACTCCATGGTGACGGCGTCGAGGAGCCCAGGTTACGAGTGCGGCGAAGAGCGACAAGCAGGCAAGGAGCTAGGGTTACGAGTGCGGCGAGGAGCGGGCGAGTGACAGAGTGACCGGGGAGAGCCGGAGAGGAGAGGGCAAGAGGCTAGGGTTACGAGTGAGGGGAGTGGGGAGAGCGGCCGCATCGGGCGGCTTATATACCGGACCCCCCGGCCACCCGGCGATCCAACGGCTCACGCCCCGCCTCCGCGATCCAACGGCTGCGAGCCGTGCCTACCCCGTGCCTGGGCCGGCACTACGGGCCGACCTTTCGGCCCAGGCACGGGCACGGCTACGGGCCGGGCCAGGCACGGGCACGGGTGAGGCCAGGCCGTACCGGGCTAGGGCCGTGCTTTTTCGCACCGGACCCGTGCCAGCCCGTTTCGCGCGGCCCGTTTGGAAATTTATAGAGCGAGGCCAGAGGCACAGGCGCTGCTGCTGGCCACTGGGCGCGAACCGCGCGTGATCGAGGCTAGCCGGCCGGCCGGCCGCCGGTTCGAGACACCGTGCATGCATATGCGCGCGCGAGCGTATGCTCGCATGCAGATGCAGATGCGACCTGATGATGGAGCCACCTAGCAACACGGGAGGCTGGGCGTGGGCTGCTGCGGGGTGTGGCCGTGGCTGCCTGGCAGAGGGAAAGGCTGGCCAGGGCTGATCACGGGAGCCCTGTAGTATGTGAGCATGGGAGGGATGGCGCCAAAGCTGCGCCCTCACGAGGCGGCCACTCGCCTTGCCGTCTACCGCGAGCCTTATTCCCGGCGCGCGTACGCTTGTGAACCCTCGCTTGTATATATGTGCATGCTGATATATGCTCTCCCCCGTGTACGCATCCGGGCCATGCGTGCGTGGCTCTGTCCAGCTGGAAAACGTATATGGAGCGAGTCTTTTTGTTCCTGTTCGTGGCAGAGCTAGCAGACGTATGTACGTGTGATGCTGCAACCTTTGTTTTCTTCTTGTATTTCATTATGTATATATGATGAGATGGCATAATATATAGCTGATTGTAACACAATACCAAAATATATAACCTCTTCCGGCGTTCCTCTATAAGCTAAAAATCATCTGAGGCAGTAGCTAGTCTGTGTGTTTACAAAGTTAGGGTTGCATAATCTTTTTTACGACGAAATGCACTCAGCCTTTTTTTTTATAATAAGAGTATACTGTACTCAACCTTAAACTTCAGTTATTATAAAAAAACCTTAAACTTCATTTTATAATCGTCAGTAGAATCAGTAAATCTTGATGTGCCAATGGGAATGGTAATAATTAATCTTTCCTTTCATATAGAAAAGGCCGAAGAGATAATCTTTCTTAAAAAAAGGGAGATACAATCTTCAAAGAGCTGGAAAGTTGGAGCTGTGCATTGATCAATGCAGGTGATGTGGTGCCTCCCAACCCCTCTTGTCATATGCTTTGGTCATGGCATATACACTGATGCGCCAAGAATTGTCATATAGTAATGGGTAGAGAATGTAGTAGCCATTTGTTTAGGGGGAAACAATGAGGAGAGGAATTTGATGTTTTGTAACCATCCTGATTCGGTCAGGGGTCATGTGATCAAAAAGTACATTCCTTTGTACTTTTCGTATGTGTGTGTGTGTGTCTTTGTGAACCCCATTTGGTTACGGAATACTGAGTGCCTTGCTCTCCCAGACTGAGAGTTGGCCTGATGTGGATGTGCATTGGCGACGCTTAACTTTCCACGTCTAATCATGCTCTCATTTATTTTATTTTCTCGATATGTGCTTATTTTTTTCCTTGATGAATTGCGTACGCTCCACTTATATGGCATATATATATATATATATATATATATATATATATATATATATATATATATATATATACACACACACACACACACACACACACACACACACACACACACACGACCAACGGATGAGATTTATGCAACTAAACCGTTAGAATTTTGAATTAGTGTCGTCTAGAGACGGACTGTAGGTCCAGATAATCATGAACCGTGTTGCTCATGGTAAAAACATTATTTTTTTTGTTACAATATATTTGGTCAAAATTAAACTGTATCCGAAAAATGGTTATACATTAAGTGCAGTCATTCATTAGCCTTTGCGATTGTAAAAGACTTCCATGCATGTATAACCGCGGCTCTCCTCCCAAGGGGGGGTGGTCTTGTGCGGAGAAATGCCTATATATAGCTCTGCTCGGCTCGCCGTAGGAGACTCGTTCAACAGGGAGAAAGCAGAGAGAGGGCAACATCGATCAGAGATAGAGAGAGAGGGCAACTGGAGAGGCAGAGGGTGATGGTTTCCAGGGAGCAGAAGCGAGGAGTTTTGCATGAGAAGCTGCACATTCTCCGCAGCGTTACTCATTCTCATGCGGTAAATTCTCATCTTCTTATCAGATCAGTTCTCTTTCATATGTTGTTCATTCTTCTTGATGATTACTCATCCATCGACCTCTTATTATGTAAGTGAACATATATTCTCGTTTTTTTCTTCTGAAAGAATACTCATCGTCCTCTAGCTATGTAAGTGAAAGAATCTCAAGCCAAATGCTATTACGGTTAACTATTTTTCTGTCAGTTGTTGTTTTCTTTCACAAATGAGGCAATGATCATTCACATCACTTCATCAATTAATTATTTTCAGTCATTCATTTCTTCCATATGTAGATTTAAGTCAACCGAAATGGTAACATCTTGGAGAATATCAACCATATATAGTAAACCACAGGTCCAAACATCCATTGTCTGAACCAATAAACAGCCCAAACAATTGATCTTCGAAGAGATATGTGAAAACAACAAAGTAGTTTGTACAGAGTTGCTAGTGATAACTTTTTACTATTTATTAACCATTCATCTTTCAGATCAGTTCAATACTGACCAAGAAACTGAAGTTATAGAACACATGTGTCATGCAGGGGGATAAAATGTCAATAATAGCGGACGCATCGTCGTACATCAAAGATCTACAGCAGAAAATTGCAAAGCTAAACCAAGAGATTGCATCAGCACAACACGCCAATGTTTGCCAACCATTGGTGAGTGTTGGAGTCCTGGACAAGGGTTTCCTCATCAATGTGTTCATGGACAAGAGCTGCCCACCAGGACTACTTGCTTCCATTCTTGAGGCATTTGACGAGATTGGACTCACAGTGCTTGAGGCTAGGGCTACATGTGCTGGTTCATTTCGTCTAGAAGCTGTAGGAGAGGTGAGAACGAATAAATTACACCATAAGCAAATGCGTTGGTTCTTATTACTGTTCAAATCCGATTTACATTTGTTTATTATTGACATTCCAGGAAGAAGATGAGGGCCTAATTGACGCACATGCAGTGGAGCAAGCAGTAGTTCAAGCAATCAAGAATTGTCCTACAAACTAATCAACCTAGTCCAATTCGATCGAGTTGATGCTGATGGAGCACAAAATTTATGTCGACTCTAAGCTATGCATATGGATTCCCATCGTACTTTTTGAAGAGAGCAAAGCATAATTTCTCTTCCTGCAAGAAGTCAGTCTTGCGTGTGTTATGCTATTCGTTGGGAACATCTGTGGTCATCTTTTGGCAATGCCTATATATCTTAATTCAGCTTGCATAAATCTAAATTTTACATTAAAAGCATTACTCTCATAGCATGACGGAGATGGCATAGCTAGCTCCCATCACCCTTCTTCTCAGCCCGGGTGTTCATGCCCATGCGTGTTGGTAAAAAGACGTATATACAGGTGGGTAGACTGGTAGGTTTTTTTTAGATAATGGAAAATTCTGGCTTCAGTCCTCTTCAAAGAAAATGCATCAGTCCATAGTTAAACAAATACATCCACTTTAAATGCTTACAGCAATACTGTAAATTATTGTAAACACAATATAAAAGGCCATCCAATGGATGCGAAGAACTCTGTGGCGGCGCAGGATTCTAAGACTCGGCAGCTAACATAGAAAACATTGTCGTTATCCAAACCAAGACACACTCACTTTAGTAGAGGCTAATCAGACCAATATATAATCCCATCCTATCTGATACGTCCAATCGCTCCAATGCTGAGGATGTGCTCTAAATAAACAATGAAAAAAATTTGAATCTCCAAGGCAATTACAGAATGACATGGTATAGTATTACAGTTAGAACTCCATAGGCACATCGACATGGTACATAATTGAGACAGAACACCAAAGAAGATACAGAATATTTGTTTTACTAACTCCTCACTATATGTATGAAAAAATGCCACATACTTCTTCGGTCTCAAAATAAACACACATATCATTTTTCAGGGAGTCAAACTCTTATAAGTTTAACTAGCAATATAGAAAATCATACCAATATTTGTATCTTTAAATAAATCAATTATCAAAATATACTCCATGCACAATCTAATACTATTTATCATACATTATAGACATTAATATATTTTTATACAATTTGGTCAAATTTTTAAAAAATTGACTCATTTGGAAGCGAGATGTGCATTTATTTTATGACGGAGTGAGTATATTGTATGGTTCACATTAATTAGTACATAAAGTAGCTGCAAGACATGGATGAGAGATGAGAGATGAGAGGAGAAGTAGATTGTAAGTTTACAGCCACCTTAGACACAAAAAGCTTAAACAAAGGACAAAAAATACTTTATAAGAAAAACAAGTATACTATATATATATCTTTATTATTATTGTTATTATAACTAAAAAGCGGTGGTGGAGCTCGTCACTATAATAAAAACAAGCACACTAAAAAGCGGCAAATGTCTGAGCGTACTCGGGCAGGACGAAAACCACGACTCCCCGTTCTCCCGACGTTTTTTCCTTCCACCCTCTAAAAAGAATCGGCGCCGATAGGTGGGACCCACGTTCCCCCACCCGGTGTTATGCGGCGCCCCAATCCGAATTTTCTTGAGGCTTTTACATGTGTGCCATTAAAAAAGTTTGTAATTACACACAGGCTATTAAAAAAGTTGACCGCACACATATGCCACCGTTCTAAACTTTTTTACTCTCCAAGCCATTTCGTCCATTTTTCTACTTAACGATGTCAAACCGACAGGTGAAATGACCATTTTACCCTATGGTGGGGTTCGTTTGTCAGCCACCCAAACTCTCTCTTTCTCTTGCGCCTCCGTTCCGCGCTCCCCGTGCTCCTGCTCTTCGTCGCGGCGCAGGCGGTGTGCTGCTGCTTCCCCTTAGCGGTGGTGGAGCTCGTTGTGCTCGCGGCCGTGGGTGTGCTGCCGCCGCGCGCTCCGCGCCCGGGCGAGGTGCAGGCGTGCCTCCCGCGCAGCTGCGGCCAAGAAGAAGGAGATGGCGGGGATGGATAGGGTGAGCAAAGGGGAGCTGCAACAGCCGAGGGCGGAGCTCCCCCGCGCACACTGACACGAGCCCCGATGGCGACGGCGACGGCCCCGGTGTGCAGGGGACTCGGATTTGCCTCCTCTTCCCATCTTCTGTTCCTGATGGGCACATCGAAGGGGTGTGGGCGAGAGCCGCCATTGGCAGTGTGCTCGACGGGAGGAGTGGAGGGATGGGGGCGACTGGAGGAGGAGGCTGCTGCTCGCCCGCGTGGCCGCGTGGTCTCGGCGGCTACTGTGCGCGTGGCCATGGCGGGCGGAGCTGCTGTGCGGGCATGGTGGGTGGAGCTTGCATGCAGCTATGGTGGGCCAAAGCTCCCGCGCCTTGAGCTCCGCTGACGCCACCAGGAATGGGTAAGCAACAGCAGCTCGTGGAGCCCCATGACGACTTGACGAGGCGGAGCTTCTTCTTGCAGTGGCCGAAGTCGGAGGCGGGCGCGCCATCGTCCCCGTCCACGCAGCCGACGCTCCCGCGGTTGGAGCTTCGCCCCTAGGACTGCTGCTACTGCTGCTCTAGGCGGTGGAGCTCTGGTCCGCCAGCTCCGCCTGCCGTGGCGTGCGCCATGGCCGTGTGGGAGCTCCGTCCGCCAGGGCAGCGCGGGAGCTTGAGGCGGAGGAGCTCTACCCCGGCCGCCGCGGGCGCGCGCGGGCGAGCTCCGCCCCGGCCAGCCACGGGCGCGGGCGAGCTCCGCCGAGGGCGCACGCGGAGAAGAGAGATGAGGTCGAGTTCGAGAGAGAGAGAGGGGATAGGGATGAGAGGGGTATTATGGACTTTTTGACTGACCTGACCCACTTGTCAGAACTTCCAAACGGTGAAAAATGAACGGAATATGAATGGAATAGCTCGAAGAGTAAAGAAGTTCAGAACGATGGCATATGTGTACGGTTAACTTTTTTTTAATGAGCTGTGTGTAATTAGGGTCACGTGTAAAAGCCTCCATTTTCTTTCGTCCCTCGCACTGCCCAAGCTCAGCCATCCCCGTGAACCTCTCCGTTGCTAGGGTTACGCCGCCGCCGGCGTCATCGTGCACTGGGTTGCTCCTCCCGTCCTCCGATACATCGCCCAGCGGATCCGGCTTCAGGTGAATCCGGCAAGGAAGCTCCATCCGTTCCCTAACCTGCTTGTAAGGCACCCACGGATGCCTCGGCAACACTAGATCGGCTGAGCCACCACCTGCCCTCCGCGCGCTCCTCACCTCCGCACTTCCACACGAACCCACCTCCAATGGAGCCCGATCTGAGCTGCCTCTCCTCTCCGCGATCCACCTTGAGCCCTTCCCTATCCCGTGGCCCCGTGGACAACAGCAGGAAGAGATTGGCTGCTGTGGGGTGCTGCAGTGACTAGCAGTGAGGATGACAAGGGCCGCGGCGCCAGGAGAATCTACGGCCACGAGTTTCCGTAAATACGTCCTTTGCTTCCAGTATGTTCCCTTTTCTAATACCAATTTTTTTATGTGCGTTATTGAGCAGATTTCAAACGAGAGAGATACCACTTTGTTTCTGCAGGGATATGCAAGCAAGAGAATCAGTTTTAATTAGCGACCTCTCTCTGATGCTTGGTGATCCATTGCATGCAGTAAGCTAATATTTCACTTGTTTAGTTCTGAGATTCAAGTCTTACAAAAATGAACCCCCTATCACAGATTATGGTATTGACTCTGTCAAGCCCATCTATGCTAAGAAGTCACTCGATTCAAGCCTATTACATGCTTAAGCAGCGGCCTGCTGTTCCTGCTCCATTCAAGCTACCATGACAGAGACAATGGACATCCTTTTGTTATTTCTTAGCTAGAGAAATGATTCTAGATCTCCACTCATTCTTGATCTGTTTCGTTAGTAATTGATCAAGATCCCAATTCTTTTTTATCCGGATCCCCTCATTTATTGATATGTTTGATTTAGTTCGTGATATTAAGAATAATTTGAGCATAAGTTCTTGTGTTCTATACATATGGATGCTCAGTCACATGTAGAATTCTGGCAATGTGATTGTAGTGTTGGTTAGAAGTTATTTATTTTTCTTTTCAAATATATTGATATACATACCTGAACGTGATAAACAATGTATTGTTTTTTCAACTCATGGACGGGTTGAGAAACATCATATACTCCAAGGCATTTCACTTTTGTTGTTCTTAAGTTGATGGAGTTTTAGTCCTACCTATAGTACCTGCATATTGTTATAGTTGCTTCTTTGCACATTAGTTTTGAAAGTAAAGCCTGAACATATACTCTGGATTTGGTCTTGCTGAATATGTGCACCAATGTCTGAAGATTTTTATACATATAGTTCTCTTGTCTGAAAGTTTTTGAACTATTCACTTTGGTTTCTTGTCTAATTCTATGTGTTTAGTAATGATGCTTTCTGATTCATTTTCCAAACTGTATAGCTAGCAGTGTAACATACTGATGCCCTCCGATGCAGATTGCATATTCAAAACTGCTTGTTCTCAACAATGTAATAAATAATGGCTTGGTTAACACTATTTATATGAGCATAGTCTTGAGTAATTTTGGAGGAGTATTCAATACTATTCAATAAGTTAGATCTGCCTTATTTTTTCAAAAGTATACTATGGATTCATTGTTATCTGAGTGTGGCTGCAATAGATTGGGAAACGTCAGATTCATGTTTTTGGTAACTAGCATAGCATTGGGTAATTTTGCAGGATTATTCAGTTTTAGTGTGCAAGAGACATATGAGTCACTAATTAGATTTGCCTCTTTTGCTTTCGAATTATCCATATGTTGTAGACTTCTTTGTGGGCCGGCAATATAGGCGCCGGGCTAGGAGGGCCACGGCCAACAGCAGTGGCTGAGGCGCCGACTGGCTTTAGAAAGAGAATAAGGAGGGAGGATTTTTAGGATATGATGGTTATTTGTTAGGAAGTGCACTTGGACTATAAAGGAAGCACTTAGGGAATGTAATCAGTTTTATCGAAGAAGATTATAACCTCCCGAGCGGGTGGTGTTCCTCTTCGACGGTGGCTGCACGCGCTTCTGCAGCTGCCACCGGCAATCTCCTCACCGCGCCATTGC